AATTAGGGGGTCCCTGCTCCATTTCGCCATCAGTTTGGGGGTCCTTTGCCTGGAAAACGTTGAAGACCCCTGTTTTAGGGTAATGCCAATAGCTCAAAGTGGTTTTAAACTAACCACATACAAACACTTATTCACAGACCGGTTGGCAGTTAAGAGTCAAGTGCCTTGCCCAAGGGCGGATGTGAATTTGGCAGCTAGAATTAAACATATTCTCTTAGAACTTTCCATAACAACCCCATTTGCTGCGTGGTTAGCATTAAGTGAACAGTAGGTGTAGCGGTCTTACGCTGTTGCACGTTTGCTGGAGCTGTTGATGGTGGTGCTGGGTGGGACTTCTGGTTTGGGTTCTGGCTCAGGGTCTGGTGGGGGAGGTGGTTTGATTGGCGGCGCTGCCTCGTGTAAGTGAGTGAAGGGAAGCACAGGACGGAACAACGCGCTCAGTTTACTCTGCAGGACAGAAAAAAAAACATTTGAATCATTAAATATTTAAATTAATCAATCCTCTGGATGATTTACAATATTAGTAAAATATACAGTAAATAAACTCATAAACCACTAGTTAGGTGGATTAAGCTGTAAAAACTGCTTTTATTCAATCTAGTGCCCAATTAACACATTTTTAATTTCTTGCAAACATTTTTCCAACCAGCTTTCATTGAAGGTTCTAAATGTTTCTTATTTTTTAACACTGAATTTCAATTCAATCAGAAGCTAATTGCAGCTCAGAGAAACAAGCAGGTGTATAAAAGGTTGCATTTCGCTGACACCGTGTGTCATTTTCACAGCAGGTTTATAAATATCCATGACACATAACAGGAAATACTTAACATCTGAGACAGGTGTCAGTTTGATTTATAGTTATTTAAAAGACAACATTTTTAGCTTGTTTAAAATCATTTTTTACTTCTTTTTTTTTTATATTTCATTGTGTTTTTCCTTTGTTTTTTAAGAGTCTCAGGCCCAAGAGAGCATTAGCTACAAAACATTAAAAAATATCTTTTGTGATTAATATGGCGCACATCTTTTGCATGAAATGTTTATCAATAAATATTCAATGAAGAGCTTAGGGTTTTTTTTAAAAGTACAGGAATCCATGATAACCTACTCAGGGTAAGATGCTTACTGCTCATAACATCCCAACAGAAACACACATTAAGAAAAGAAAAGTGGAATTATATCGCAAAGATATTATAAACTCTTCAACTTTCCCAGATTTAGTTGATTTTTACTGGAGCGTTATGTAGTAAAACAATGCATAGAGGGCTGTTCTTGTGAGGTGGATAGAAAATAATACTGAAAGGCTTGATTTAGATTTGTTCTTCTTCTTTAAACTAAAGCTCTGACTGTAAATAAATTCCTCTGCCTTCAGGTTTCACATAATCAGAAACTAAAGAACAACTCTAAAGCAGAAGAACTCTGCTTTGAGGAATGTTCTTCTTCAGCATGAATGTAGTTTTTAGGTCCTGTTTCCTTTTAAATTAAACATGCATTGTTTTTTTTTTCCCCCTCTGTTTATTTACAATTATAATGAGCGTAAACAAATGGTCTTTAGATATAGAAGCTTAATATCTGACCTAAATGAAAGAAAATCTTTTATAAATCCCTGTATTTTTTAGCCATGAGTCTTGAGTAGTCGAAGCTTTGTTTGCAGATCATTTCATGTCGTACCAATTTCCAAACAACAAAGAATAAAAACCACTAATGCTAGAAACATTACTTTGTATTTTTTTCTTTCAGTTGGATGATTTTGACATGATTTTATTCCTGTTTTTAAAAACCTTTTAACAAAATACCAACTTAATCAGAAAAATGTTCAAGCTTTAAATAAACACGTAAGACTACTACAAACATACACCCACCGGCCACTTTATTAGGTACACCCGTCCAACTGCTCGTTAACACTTAATTTCTA